GGCGGCGGCGGCCCGGGCGGCCCGCAGGGAGCGGCGAGCGGCCTCCATCCGGCGAAGGCGGGCGGCGGCGGCCGGAGCGAGCGAGGCGCGCGCCGGGCGCCCGTGGCAGGCGGCGGCGGCGGCGGCCCAGCGCCAGGACGACGCCGCGCAGCGCCCGACGCGGACCACTTTCATGCTGATTCCCCCGGACCCGGGCAGCGCTCCGGCCACTCCGCGGGCCGCCGGCCTCCGCCCCGGCCTGCCCGGCTCTCTGGGCGCGCCCGCGACCGGCGCCTCCGCTCTCCCAGTCCTCCTGATTTCGATGGCTTTCCTGAATGGCTGACTGTGGGCTGCCCTGGACTTGGCCCCCGGACAGTCGCCTCTCCTCCTCCTCCTCTTCCTCCTCCTCTTCCTCCTCCTCCTCCAACTCCTCGGCACACCAGCTCTGAGAGCGAGAGAGTGAACGAGAGAGGGAGGGAGAGAGTGAGAGCGAGCGAGATCTTTGGAGAGATTTTTTTTTTTTTTTTTTTTTTTGCCTCCTACTTCTGTCTTGAAGCCAGACAATCGACTTGCAGCTCTCCCTCCCCTCCCTCTCTCTCCACGTTCTGCTCCCACTCTCTCTCCCCTGGCCCCTTCCCCTCCCCTCCGGGCGGAAAGCCCCCCGAAACCAACAAAGCTGAGCCGAGGGAAACAAACAAAACAAACACACCGGGCCAGACAAGCAATCGACAAAACTTTGCAAAAGCAGAAACAAAAAAGGAAAAACTAATCAACCTCAACCAACCAGCCCCCGAGCCACCCGGGGCGCCCTCCCGCGCCCTCTCGCACCCTCGCACACACAAAAGGCGGCGCGCCGGAGCCCGAGACCCGGGAGCCGCCGCCGCCCGCAGCCAGGGGAGCAGGAAGTCCGGACGCGGCCCCCATAGATATGGCAATGGTAGTCAGCACGTGGCGCGACCCCCAGGACGAGGTGCCCGGCTCGCAGGGCAGCCAGGCCTCGCAGGCGCCGCCTGTGCCCGGCCCGCCGCCCGGCGCCCCGCACACGCCACAGACGCCGGGCCAAGGGGGCCCGGCCAGCACGCCGGCCCAGACGGCGGCCGGTGGCCAGGGCGGCCCCGGCGGCCCGGGCGGCGACAAGCAGCAGCAGCAGCAGCACATCGAGTGCGTGGTGTGCGGGGACAAGTCGAGCGGCAAGCACTACGGCCAGTTCACGTGCGAGGGCTGCAAGAGCTTCTTCAAGCGCAGCGTGCGGAGGAACCTGAGCTACACGTGCCGCGCCAACCGGAACTGTCCCATCGACCAGCACCACCGCAACCAGTGCCAGTACTGCCGCCTCAAAAAGTGCCTCAAAGTGGGCATGAGACGGGAAGGTATCGGCCTCTCATTTCCCCCCCCCCCCCCTCGCCTGGGGTCCCGGGGCCCTGGGTGCGTTTGGCTAGCCTGCTCTGGGTAAGGACGCAGAAGCCCCAAGCTCTTCTCTTCGTGTTGCAGCTGAAAGGGGTTTTATACTAGAATCAAGTTCTGCACTGGAACCCAGACCCCCAAATCCGCATGCTTTGGCCGACTGATTTCTTCCTCTACTTTCTCTTCGGGCTGTTTCATTTTCTTTGCATTGATTGCGAGTTCATTCGAGTTCGCCTTTCTGCGAGGGATGGGGTGTTGTCTGTTGTTTTAAAGCCTGGTTTACTTCTTTGCCTTTCCTCTCGATTTCTCTCTCTCTCTCTCTCTCCCTTGTTTTTCCTGCATGTTCAACATATGTCCCTCCTCCCCACCCCTCTCCCCAGCCCCCACCTTCTCAAAAAAAAAAAAAAACCAACCTGAGATTGTACTTTTGTACAGGAGGTTCAAATTACAAATGGCAATTTTATGCACTTCGCCGTATTAACGCTGCTGCCCGGGCAGCGCTCATGTGACCCTCCGTGGATTAACATTCTGCTAAAAAAAAAAAATACCTCTGTTTTCTTTTTTCCTTTCACTTTTGAAAGGAGGAGAGCGCGATAGGGAGCAGGGAAGGGTGGGCGAGGGGCCCTCAGCGGCTGCTTTCGCTCTGCGCGAGTTGGGTCTTTGTGATATAAAATTCGCCGAGCGCCGCGAGCCGTGCTCGGCCAATGGCGCGCTCGGCGCCGGGCGCGGGCTCCGGGCTAGGGCGAGCGAACGCCGGGCTTTCTTTGTGTTTCTGCGAGAGCGACTCTCCCGGTCCGGCGTCAGATAACAGCCTGAGCCCGAGCTTCGCCAGCTTTCCCCAGCCCTCTCGGGCCCTCCCTGGGCTGCGCCGGCGCCGGCCGCCTGCTCCCCCGCCTCTCCCCGGCTTCCTCTCGCCTCGGCCGGCCTCTCTCTCCGCCCTCTCTCTCCGTCTCTCTTTCTTCGCGCACACTGATTAGGCTGCCGCCAGACCTCGGCTTTCCGCTCGTCTCTCACCGGGGGGTTCCCCGCCGGGCTGGGGCTGGGGCTGCGGGGTTTGAGGGAGAATTGTTCCGGGGTAGCCGCAGGCCGTCTGGGGTGAACCCTTGTTTCTTTTGCAAAAGCGTCTCACCCTCCCCCCCCCCAGGCTCGCCCCTCCCGCTCCCTCTCCTCCAATCAATAAGAAATATCAGCTGTTTAGCAGTAAAGAAGAATGATGCCCCCAGAATACTACATCCCGCCCACAGTGCCGGGGACCCCGAGGCAAAGTGGTCAATTCTGGGTCCTCGGCGGCCCAGCCCCGAGCGGGCCTCGGAGGCAAGTGTGCCGCTCAGGCCGCCAAAGCCTGCCTGGGTGGTGGCTTGAGGGGAGTGCTGCCGGGTTCCCGGCGACTTCCAGGTCTGTGGCCCTGGCGCGTCGGTGAGAGGGGCAGGCCTGCCCATTCCGGCGCGGCGCGGGGTCTGGGCCAGGTGGGGGTCGGGCTGGGGCAGACCCTGCCGGGGGAGCTGGGGAATGAAGCTGGTCATTAACTGCGGGGTGTCTCCTTTCCTCCCCGCAGCGGTGCAGAGGGGCAGGATGCCGCCCACCCAGCCAACCCACGGGCAGTTTGCGCTGACCAACGGGGACCCTCTCAACTGCCACTCGTACCTGTCCGGATATATTTCGCTGCTGCTGCGCGCCGAGCCCTATCCCACGTCGCGCTTCGGCAGCCAGTGCATGCAGCCCAACAACATCATGGGCATCGAGAACATTTGCGAACTGGCCGCGCGGATGCTCTTCAGCGCCGTCGAGTGGGCCCGGAACATCCCCTTCTTCCCTGACCTGCAGATCACCGACCAGGTGGCCCTGCTTCGCCTCACCTGGAGCGAGCTGTTCGTGCTGAATGCAGCACAGTGCTCCATGCCCCTCCACGTCGCCCCGCTCCTGGCCGCCGCCGGCCTACACGCCTCACCCATGTCCGCCGACCGAGTGGTCGCCTTTATGGACCACATACGGATCTTCCAAGAGCAAGTGGAGAAGCTCAAAGCGCTGCACGTCGACTCCGCCGAGTACAGCTGTCTCAAGGCCATAGTCCTGTTCACCTCAGGTAGGAAGGAGCCTTGCCCTCTCCTGCCCAAGGACTCCTAGCTCAGAGTTAGGACCCTCAGAACTTGGGAGTCCCCAGAGTGAGCCCAGCGTCCCCCTTGAAAGGCCAAACTGTTGAGTGCAAACTTGGAGTGGGAACTTTGTATAGGTGCTGGGCCTCGCCAGGCCCGTCCAGGGGACTAGAGAGGAAGGGTGGATTTCAGGAAGGTTGCTTCAGACACAGGCTCGAAAAATGGGCCATGGGAAAGCCTCTGGGGCCTGCCAGACTGGGATGCATGTTCCTGCTCCCTCCCTCAGCCCCGGCCTTCTGGGCGAGCTGAGCCTGTGCAGTCTCCCCTACCCCATGGCTCTCTCTCTGTCACCCTGGCTGAGCCTCCAGGAGATGCCTCTGAGCACTGGCGCTGTCCTGGCATCATCTCTTCAGGGGAAAGTTTGGCCCTGCAGGGGAAAAGTTTGTCTGCTAACCCAGTAGGAGTTGGAGCTCCAGGCAAATCCAACCTGAGGGCAGCAATTTTCTAAATCCTGTTCTTATTAAAACAATGCAGATCTTACAGGAGAGGAGGAAGAGTTGTCAGGAAGGGGCAAGAGGAAGAAAGGGTCATCATAACTGTCCAGAATGTCTGCAAGGGGTGGAAGACTCTGGCCTCCTGCTTCCTCTGCCCAGGCAAACACTTAAGGCAATTTTCAAACAACCCAAAGTATATGCCAACTTGGGCTGCGTATGAATGTTGCCAGAGATATAAAACCATCACTGACTGCATTATGAAATCTAATTAGTTTGTATATAGTTTAACCTGTGTGAGTAATAGATCTAATATTAATTAACTCTTGAGGCCAAACGATTTTTGAAGGTGTCTGGCTTTCCACTTTGGGCCACACCTGAGCCTTTTGGCTGCCTCCAGGCTGAGTTCAGCCTATCCCAAGTGGGTGGAAATCACCCCCTCCACACTCTTGGTCTAAGTTGTCAGCTGATCCCTTTGTCATGCCTGAGAGGGGAGAGGGGTTCCTAATTCAGAATAACAAACATTTGGATGTTGGTAGGGCTTGGAACCTAGAAACTGCAGTTTCCACAGCTTGTAATCCGGACACTAGGAGAGCTGAGTAGTTCCTGTGGCAGACAAAAAGATCCACAATCTCTTCCTTATTGTTTGAAGGAAATCTGGGGACCCCAGTCATTAGCTCAATCGATTGCAGGTTCTGAGTCCTTAACCCACTGTCTGTTATACATTGCTGTTTTTCACACATAACCCCCCCCCAACAGCCACCCCAAATTCTGCCTTTGAAAGTCCTTAGGTAATCAATTAAAGGGCAGTGTCTGGGCAAGGAAGAGCTCTATAGAGAGAGGCTTGGATCTGGAGTATTTTTCTCAGGGGAACTGTCATAACTAGAACATTTGCCTGATGCAAGTGTACAGGCAGGATATTCCCCTACCCCACAGCCACCTTCACCCCCATCCCACAACCCTGCTACACCCAGCCCAACATCCCAGATGATGGGGGTGTTGTTAATTTCTCGCTATCATTGTTAGCTCTTAGCCTTACCCTTGGTCTTTCAAGGAAAGAAATGCCTGATACTGTCGTAACAGTTTAATTTATTACTATTTGCAAAATGTAGAGGCCTATGTGGAGAATGCAAATCACCTCACAAAGAGATAAAGGTCCCTCTTATCTGATTCATAGGGAGACACACAGTGTACCAATGCAGAGGGAGGGAGTCCTGTGCAAACAGATCTTTTAATTCCTGACCACAGACACCTATGCATTCTTTACATGCGGAGTCCTAGATACACACACGAGGAAATTGCATGTGTGTTCTGGTTCTTGGGTTGGAGGCAGTGGCGGCTGTTTTAAGGATTCACAATATGCATGTGTAGCCCCAGTCTTGTCTGGGGAACCCAAAAAGGTCAGGTCACAACCTGCACTGCCTTCACTGAGAAGCCTCTCTTTTCAAAGGCACTTATTGTATTTTTCCCATATCTGAAAGAGAAAAGTGTTTTCCTGAAGATAACAGGGAGGGGTTTCTTCTTGGAGGGACCTGGGTTTTTAAAAAATAAATAAATACATACATACATAAAGGGGGGTACGAGAAAAAGGGAGAGAGAAGAAAAGGGGGGAAAGAAACAGCGCAAATGAACAGAGAGATCACAGTTTGCATGGCTGCCCTTCAATAGGGCTGTACTGACAAGATCAGTTTTAAAGGGCCACTTAAATCAGTTTCAAAGACTGGAGAAAAATGAGTCGCCCTCTTTGGGGAGAATCTGAGGCTAGGTCATGGACGCCATTACTAGAGGCTGGGCCAGGTTGTTGCCCTCCTCCCCCCCCCCATATAATTATAAGTCAAACTATTATTTACAGAGGAGGAGGGGGAGGAGCCCTGGCAGTTTTGGTTTCATCTGTTTGTCTGTCTGTTTACTGACTTGAGCCAGATTTCATCCAATGCACTTGGCTTGGGCCTCCCAGTGCCCAAGTCTGAGGACTGGGACAGTGAAAGCCTGCAGTGCTCAGAGCTGTGTTTGACTTTAAGCAAATACGCCAGGATCATCTCATGCTCTCCTTCCCCCCCACTCCGTCCCCGCCCCCCAGCCAGCTCCCCTCCGCCCAAGTTTTCAGTACAGAGAGGCATTTGCTTCAACTCCGGTTGGGGCAGTTTGACAGAGCCCTGTACACACACCTCATGTGACCCATTTCAAACCTCTTAATCTGATGACTGAATTCTTCTTCTTTTCCTTCTTCTTCTTCTTCTTTTTCTTCTTCTTCTTCTTTTTTTTTTTTTAACTTTCTTCCAGATGCCTGTGGTCTCTCTGATGTAGCCCATGTGGAAAGCTTGCAGGAAAAGTCCCAGTGTGCTTTGGAAGAATACGTTAGGAGCCAGTACCCCAACCAACCAACGCGATTCGGAAAGCTTTTGCTTCGCCTCCCTTCCCTCCGCACGGTCTCCTCCTCAGTCATAGAGCAATTGTTTTTCGTCCGTTTGGTAGGTAAAACCCCCATCGAAACCCTCATCCGGGATATGTTACTGTCCGGCAGCAGTTTTAACTGGCCGTATATGGCAATTCAATAAATAATAAATCAAAATAAGAAGGGGGAGTGAAACAGAGAGAAAGAAAAGGCAAAAGACTGGTTTGTTTGCTTAAATTCCTTCTGTTAAGAAAGGATATAAAAGGATGTTACAAGTTTGCTAAAAGAAGAGAGGGGAAGAATTTAATGGACTGTGAATTTCAAAAAAAAAAGACTGTCAAATGAACTTTTACAGAATGCATTAAAAAAAAAAAACAAACTCCTGTGTCGGTCAGAACAACTTGCTACTTATCATTTTTGTATAAAAAGGAAATTAGTCTTTTTCTTTTTTTGGTAAAATTTTGAAAAATATTGCTAAAAGTGCATTTAAGGAGATTGGGAGAAAATTAGCAGAATGGAGAAAGTAAGTCTTTTTTTTTTTTTCCAAATTATTAATTGTCCTGTGTCTATGTACCTCTAGCTGTTCTTTTTTGTACTTTCCTGGTTCCAAACCAGTTTATTCTGTGGTTCTATAATAAGTTTTGATATAATCTTGGCTTCTTAAAAACTGTGTATCCTTAAAATATATGTTCTGCAAGAATTAAAACTGAGTCCATGAAAATATCATAGGAAGACATAAAACTTTAAAAGGCAACTCAAAGATGATGGAAACGCACTTACAAGTGGTGACCAAAAATTTTAGGTGAAGTTGAGCACTCTTAATTTGAAACTGGAGGAACCACATACAACACTTAACTTCCCCATCCCTGCCCTCCCCCCAAAAAAGACACCATGACAAACCTAGCTTTTTAAAAATATTTTAAGAAAGAGAATGAACTGTGGAATTTATTGGCAGCCAAGGAATGTGTCCAAGACACATGCTGAGGTTTTGAATAAAAAGTGAACTTTTGTAATTTGAATTGGGTCCCGCTTAGTTCTTGAATTGTTACGAAAATCCTATATCTGTTTGTATATTTGCAAACCCTTTGTATTATAATTGTTGATATTTTCCCTTTTTAAAAAAATACCATTGAAATCAGCATGACAAAATAACACTGTTGGCACTTATAGGTAACGTGATTGATTCAGTATCTTAGAGTTTACAGTTTGTGTTTTAAAAAAACTGAAGGTTTTTTTTTTAAGTGCAACATTTCTGTATACTGTAAAAGTTATAATAACTGAACTGTTTGGTCGAGTCTTTGTGTGTTATATTCCAAGGAAAATTGAAAGTATTCAGAAATTAAAATATTATTTGATATCTGAAATCTGCTTGGCTGTCCCCACTCACTGTCTTTCTCATCCAGAAGAGCCCCTGTGAGCTCTCGCTGAGCCGGGCCGGGGGTCCATTTGTTTACTCCCCTCAGTCAGTTTGTTCAAAGGTGGACTAGTGTATTTGCCTGTTTAATTTGGGTGTGTGTGGGGGGGGGGGAGAAGCTGAAGTTAATGGTTTATCTATGGTTTAGGAAGTGCCATACTGATATAGTAAACCACCCCCATTCACCTTAATCCTCCTTTTAATTAAAAATGGATTTTCCAGGAAAAAAAAGGCCCTTATATTTGTCACACTTAAGTGCCTGCTTAGGGAAGGTATTGTGGAAAGTATTAGAAATCTTGAGATCAGTATCTATTTTATGATCAGAAAAAAATACTGTTTTGTACATTTCTGACAGTTAAGCAAAAGACAGTTCTAGCAAGCTAATCACAGCATTGTAAATAGAGGGCAGTTGTTTGCAGTGAGTTTTTTCTTAAGTAGGTGTGATTTTTAAAAATACTCTGTGGTTCTCATCTAGCTTGGTTGTTGAGAGGATTTCAAATTCAGTGATATAGCTTAGAGCGCTGAAGGGTCTGTTTTTAGTGTATATATGATAACTTGCCGTTGGCCTGCCTTTCCCCTCCCCCCTTTACGTTCATTCTGTGAGAGCATGACCACAGGTCAAGGGAGTCTTTTCCACTGGAGTTATGTACATAAAAACACATCGACATTTTGACATTTCGGATTGTGTAGATACAATCTGTACTGCTCTTGGGATCCTTTGTCCTTAGAAGCCAAATTAAGAAAAAGAAGAGAAAGAAAAAAGGAAGGAAACTTTACAGGGTGTGCTGATTTGGAAGTAGTAACTATTTTGTTTTGGAGCTTTTTTTTTTCCCCTCCTCTGTCTCTTTTCCTGGTTTGAAGGAAGCTCAGTGTGTGGGAGCTTGCAATTTTGTTCTTATTGAGGCTTTCCAGCACCACCACCCCCACCATACTTCACTATGTTGTGGTTTAATTTGAAAAGCGGGTGGGTAGGGGAGGCGGAAGAAAAGGGATCATTTTGTAAAGTGTATTAAACTTTGATACTCAGTTCCAGTCAATACATGTAGACCAGAAAAATCTGATTTGTGCATCTGAGCAGAGTCCTTCATCTGACCCCCAGCTTCTTTCTGTAGATATATACATACATAAATATAAGTATGTTCTTAGGGCAGAATATCGCTGACCTTTTAGCTCGAGGTTTGTCGGTTGTTTATTTTCTCCTCTTGCAAGTGCTATCCATGTGTGTGTGAAGTTTCTCTAATAAGTAAAACACAGGCCCTTTTCCTTGTTTGTTTTGTGTTAGTTTATTGTAAACAGCCATTTGTTGTAAATTATTATTGGCATTAAATTATAATTTATGATTTTCAAAGCAAAAGACAGTCCCTGTTTTATTATGCTTTAAGCATGTGTTCTAGTCATTGGAAATCTCTCTCTCACTCTCTGAGTTTCAGCAATGAGCTTGGGGTCTGCAAGGCAGAAAAACAGGACCCAAAATTTTTCAAACGGTTAAAACAAAACCCCTTGTATATGTTTAGAGTGGCCGGAGGAGGATCTGTTTAGAGTCTTGAGTTTGGTTTAAGTTTATTGCATTTAAAGAAAGTTTTTCTTTTCACGCTGAGTTAGAACAAAAGATCTTTGCTGCAACTGAACTGGACAAAAGACGAGGGCTGGGACCCAGCGAGTGCGTTCTGTGTGAAATTGACGAGATCTTTAAAAAAGCTGCTAAACATGGCGACTCTTTCCCTTTAAGTGTCTCTTTTTCCTTGCTTTTTTTTTTTTTTTTTTTCCATCTGATCTGAGCTCGCTTTATTTCTTTTCCCAACCCGCTCCTCCTCCCTCCTCTTGGCGCTCGGGGGTGTGAGAGAACCCAGTTAGACGCGAAATGCAACAATAGTCCGAGGAGAGAGAGAGGGGCGATCGCTGCTTCTCGCCACTTTCAAACAAACCTGGGGGAAGACTGAGCTGGGGGTGTGTGTGTGGGGGGGGGCGGAATGTAGCCCGTTCGCTCGGCTCGCGGTCGCCCTGCCTCGGCCTTTCAGCATTAGTTCTCTCTGGGCCGCGAGAGGCTGGGGCTCAAAGTTAGCGGGCGACGTCCGGGGCTGGTTCTGCGGAGACGGCTGCGTTTGCATCCGGCTGGCTCGCAGGGACGGGGGCTTGGAGTTGGCAACAGCTGCGGAAAAGTGCCTGCCCCCCCCAGCCCCCGCCCCCCACTTACGTGCGGCGGAATTCCGCCAGCGCCCCCGTAAAGTCCGGGGTGCCGGGCGCGCGGAGCTGCACTCCCTGGATGTGCACGAAGCGGCGACAGGCGGGGGGCGGAGGCGGGGGGCGGTCAGGGGGAGCTCGAGCGTGTGAAACTCTGCCTCGAAGCTCGCTTTTGACTTGGTCCTATGAGCTGAGCCAACATGGCGTCTCCCATTGCACCGCGAGCGCCGGGCTGCCAGGCACTGCAGGGCCGGGGGATAGAAAAAACATTGGTTACCAAAAAAAAAAAAAAAAAAAAAAAAAAGAGGGGGGGCGGCTAAAGGCCATTCCATCTGCAGGCAGAAAACCCTCTTTTAAACTCTTGCTGGCGAGTGAGTGCGGTCCTCGATTATTCTGTAATTAAAGCAGCAGAATTCGCAGGGAAAATACTGGTAACGCAGTATCCCCTTCTCTCTCTTGCCCCCTCCCCGCCCCGTATAATTATTAGGAGAGTTTATTTCATGTCTCCCTTCCCAACAGGAGCCAAATTAGAAAAAGCAAAAGTCTGTATCCTCAAAGCATCTTAAATGTTTGAATGGTATAGGGGGAGGGGGAGAGGCCAGTATTTACAGACCTGGTCAGTGCTCGCGCTCATTAATGCAGGGGCTGCGCCGGGGTTTGTGCGGGCCGGGTCCAGCTGGGGGGGGGGGCGGGGAGTGGAGGCTGGGCTGCGAACCCCGCCGGGCGTGGGCAGAACTTGCTGTTTGCCTGTCAAAGTTAAAGCAAACGTGGCTTTCCTGGCGGAGGGCTGGCTTGGGGGCGCGCAGCGGCCGAGAGCGGTTCCGGGCGGGTGGTCGCAGGCCCTAGAAATGTGGGAGCCTGCGTGGACGGCGCCCCTGGCAGGAGTGCGCCCGCAGCGGAGGATCCCCTTTCTTTAATAGGTTTGAGCAGGCGAGGCCGGCCGTGGGACAGACTTGGCCTCCCAGAGAGGGTCTTCAGAGGGCCTCTGGAGAGACAGTGGATTGGCCCTGGCCGAGTTCTCAGCGGATGGGGGGATCGCCGGTTACGTCCAATTCCAGCCCCTGCCCGGGCCTGGAGACCCCTACCCTCAGCCGCCTGGGAGGGAAGCGAGGTACTCTCCGAATTCCGGGCCTCGTCAAGATTTATTGAAGTTGGGTTTTAAAAACGTGCTTCAGATGATTTTTCCCATTTTCTCAGATTTCAAAGGCTCCCTGCAGTGCGGCTGCCTAATTAATGGTGAAATTCAACTAAATCTAATTATGCAGTAATTTTAAAGCAGTTAGTGCTGGGCGTTGGTTTGTAATAGGACCCCAGTTTTTTAAAGTTTGCTTACTGTGTTGGTTTAGGGGAAAGCCATCTTTTGTATGGCAAAGAAAGACGGGGAAATAGTTTTGCTGCATGAACCGGAGGGCTGAGCACCGCCCCCACCCCCTCACCTCCATCCCCATCCCTGTCTCCTGTCCGATCTCTCTCTCTCTCTCTCTCTCTCTCTCTCTCTCTCTCGCCCTCTCTCAAGCTCAAGCTCAAAAGCTGAGCGAGGTGCTCACCCAGCAAAGAGACCCATTTTCATAGCCAAAGGGGAAAGAGATAATTTTTCATAAGGAGACACAAAGGGGCTTGGTATCTGCTCTCCTGGACCCATCTGTAAGGGCCCGAAAACAGGGAAGGGACTCTCATCTTCTCTAATAGAGAACAGATTTCCTCCCCTTAACATCCATTGTCATTAAGGCGAAAAGCTGACTCTTGGAGTTATAAATCTTATCGTCCTTCTGATAACACACTTGTAATAAGTTAGCGTCCTATTCAAAGTGAATTGTAAAACTGCCTCATTTAATATGGCATCTGTGTCATTAAAACTTTTATTATTTTTTTCCCCCTCGTGTCTTGCAGGCCTGGCATTCCGTCGAGCTCTGAGGTACCTATTGGGCCTCTGGGGTAGGGCCAAGGGGGAGAAAGGTGTGAGAGATGGGCTGCCTGGTTTCAGCCTCTGGATCTTAGTCTGGGGTGAGAGACCCCTGAGGCAGAGAGGGCCTGGGGGGGGGTGCTGTGTCTCCCTTTCCCATCCCCCGGAGCGGCCCCCTTCGAAATGACGTTCCTTGAAAGAAACATGCTTGTGATTAGCTAAGCAAACACATCTGCTTTCGGAGTTGGGCCTTCGTTAATTAGCTGAACAAAGGGCCGTTTTGCTTTTTACCTTTTGCTGGGGGAGAGTGTGTTATTTCAGGAGTGTCGCGGGCCCTCCTCTTTTCAATTGCAGCCACGACGTTAATTTTATTGGGATTACTGATGGGAAATGAGGTGGCGCAGGCTTCCGAGAGGAAAAGCTTGATCATTACCCCCTTTGGAACTATATTTTTCCACCAACCTCCTGCTCGTAGAAGGGGGTGGGGGGGGTAAACTGCGCAGCAAGTTCAGAGCAATTGGAATCAGGCTCGCGGTACGCTGATCTCGGGTGACAGAGCGTGTGTTGGAGCTGAACTCTATAATTTGCGCTTCTGTTCCTTTATTAGCCCTGGACAACGAACTAATGAGCTTTGGCCCAGCACAGTGTCACTTGTATTTATTTTCTTATGGCAACTTTGAGATAGCGGAAGTGTTCCTTACCAAGAGTCAGGGAGGGCCGGGAGTCCTGACCGCTGCCTTCCTGGCCCAGGTCGGTGGCTGCGTCCCAGGGGAGTGAGGGCACTCGCAGAACTGATGGAGCTTGGTGACTGGGCCTTTAGATGAGGCCTTGGGGGCGCTCAGGAAGGCGTTAGGCCCTTTTGAGGC